TTTTTTAAGTTTATTTATTTTGAGAGAGAGAGAGGGAGAGAGAACACAAGTGGAGGAGGGGCAGAGAGAGAAGAGAGAGAGAATCCCAAGCAGGCTCCACACCGTCCGCTCAGAGCCGGATGCGGGGCTTGAACTCATGAATCATGAGGTCATGATCTGAGCTGAAACCAAAAGCCGGATGCTTAACTGACTGAGCCACCCAGGCGCCCCCTAATTTAATTCTTAAATGAGGAAAATTGAGGCTCAGAGAAGTTAATTAAGTGGAGGCTCTATGGTTCCAGCTCCAACTTTAATGCCTTTTTGTGGGTCACATGTGGTTTCAAAGAACATAATTCTTCTGTTGACCTTTCGTTTCCTTTTTTAAAAAAAAAAAAATGTTTTTGTTTTTGAGAGAGAGAGAGAGAGAGAGTGCAGAGGAGGGTCAGAGAGAGCAAGATGGAGGATCCGAAGCAGGCTCCTTGCAGACAGTGGAGAGCCCTATGCGGGGCTCAAACTCATGAACTGTGTGATCATGACCTGAGCTGAAGTCGGACGCTTAATGGACTGAGCCACCCAGGCACCTCGGCCTTTCATTTTCATTAGAAAATGACCCTGAAACAGTAATTTTATAAAATTAAAGTCGGTGCAATGTGTTGTTTCTTTCTAGATGTCAGAATCAAGTGTATTATCGAAGGTTCTGTTTTGTCCACTGATAAAATGAAATGTCGCAGCAGTAACCATTAACTGGAATGTGAGTCTTGTTTAGGAGAAGGAAAGTTGTTTTTGTTGTTGTTGTTTTTTGGTTTTTTTGTTTTTGTTTTTTGTTTTAAGTACAATCTACCCCTCAATGTGGAACTCGACCCCAGAACCCAAGATCAAGAGTCACATGCCAGCCAGGCACACCGAGAGGGAAAGGTTTTTATCTTGAAAACTAGTTGTCTTTGCAGTATATTTAAAATGGGTAGGAAGAATGTAGTTTTAGGAAGCCTGGAATAAGACAAGAGAATTTTACAGGGAAGTGCTAGGTACTTTACATCTGTGGTAATGAAACAATTTAAGAAGAGACAAAAATTACAGAAGGCTTGAGTTTTGAGTGAAAGGATTCGTGTGGTACAGATAAATGGCTTCAAATGGGATGATGTCGGATGAAAAAGTTACTTGTGTCAAACATTGAGGTGCTAAATTACAACACACACAATACTGTCAAAATAATCGAACTCAGCTATGCATTCATTACTCTTCCAGCTACCTTTTTCTGTTTTAGTACACACCATCTTTTTACTTTGCAAATGTAAAAACTGAAGTCTGAAGAGTGAAGTAATTGCCCATCTAATGTCCTTCTCATTTGAGTATAGTAATAGTGTAACCACTATTACTAATAGGTGGGTTTTTTTTTCCCCCATTCAGGATTTATACTTCTGAGCTTAAGGTGAGATTATTTCTAATTGCTGTGTTTTACCCAACTTCAGATATTTTAGCCTTTTTTCTTATATAGTATAGCATAGAGACTAGGGTCAGGTCTGGGTTTGAGTGCTCGCTTCCTCTGTTAAGAGATACTACTTTATAAAATCTGTTTTCTTATTTATAAGATGTGAGAACTAAATACAGTAATGCAAGGCAAGTACCTAGCACAGTGCCTGGTGCTTTGAGAGTATTCGGTGTTGGTTATGGGCAAAGAATTCATTCGTGCACAAAATCTTTATGGATCATTCTAAATGCTCTACTAGGTGCCAGAGATGTAGCCATGGACTGAAGACAGATGAGGCCGTTCTTTTGTGGAGCTTACAGCCGAACAACACACACGTAAACCGTTAAACCAGATAATTTGATTGGGAACAATGCTATGAAAGGAAGAAGCAGAGACAGAGAGGAGACAGGTAACTGAGTAACGGCCCCGGCCGTTGTAGACGGGGCGATCAGGGCACACCACTGAGGGAGATGATTTGAGGATGAGCCAAGAAAAGGAAAGAGCAAACCATTCGCAAAGAACCAGCAGAAAAGCATTTCAGGCAGCGGAACAGCAAATGCAAAGACCCCAAGCAAGGAAGGGCTCAGGGACAAGAAAAGAATTCGGTGTGGGGACGTTGTAGCGAGTGTGGAGGTGTGGCACTGGCGAGGGTGGGGAGGAAGGAAATGGGCTAGCTCCTTGCTGTGTCGAAGTGTGGCTAGCTTCGTGGTGGCAAAGGATGGGGAACCACCCAGATGTCCGGTGGGAGATTGGAATGTGGTGACCCTGTAGGTGCAGATAGGGGCAGATCTCCCACCTCTGATAAGTGAAGAAAAGAAAACGGTGCAGAATAGTGTGTCGTATGCTCCTTTGTGTATGTGTGAGTGAGGAGCTATGCCTGGAGTGGATGCACAGGCATGTATTCTGCAGGGATGCAAAGAAACCTGTAAGGGCACGGGGTGATGAGATCAGAGAGGGAGACCTCACTCTATGGTACCCCTTCGATGTCTTTTGAATTTTCTGCCTTATGCATGCATGACCTATTGACAATCAATAAAACAGTTAAAAAAGAAACACCCACTCTCTCAAAAGGCATTGCTCAGGCAGTCACCTCCTTTATCCTTAGCCTCCTTTTGCAAACCACAGCTGTCCAGTTCACTGCTCTCTTCCCCTTAACCTTCCCATTTTACTACAGAGGACTGGGGTATTCAGGCTTTGAAGGGCATGGCAAATTGTTTTGTATTTTTATCTGAGTCTTGGGAAGCTATCAGTGTGTTTTAAGCAGAGGGTGGGAGCTGGTTTATGTCTTAAGATATATTTCTGGCCGATGTGTGTAGAATGAGTTGGGGGCAGGGTAGACATAGAAATGGTGAAACCCTGCGGAAGGCTTTAGGGGTAGGCTTGGTGGGGGATGGGTGGCTAATCTTGGTGGTGGCAGTGGGGATGGAGAGAGGAGGAATACTTTGGGATGTATTTTGGAGGTAATTAGTGATGGGTTGGTTGTGGAAGCTGAGAGAGAGAAAAGGAAAAATGAAGGATAAGTCCTGGTTACCTTGGGCAACTTGGGGGAATGGTAGTATCATTTATGAGGTGGGGGGTCCTGGGGGAGGAATCAGTTTTGAGGGAGGAAGTGAAGCATCTTGCTTCAGGTACCTGAGGCGTATCAAACGGACAGTTGTCTGGACTGTCGGGAACTCTGGAGGGTCCGAGTTAGAGCCATTGTTCTGGGCGTCGCCAGAAAGCCGTCGCGCTGGTTGAGAGAGAGGGGTGCTGGAGCTTTAACGAGAGAGAAGTGTGGAATTGTCTTAGAGGTTGAGAGAGCAGAATCATTAGGGAAGTGTAGTCATGCTGGGCAGTGTTGCATGCCCTTTGAGGTTTGTGGTTTTGAATCTAAAAAGTGAAATCAGCCCGCCTGTGTGATTTTTCTCCGGCAAACTGCAGCCGCCTGGGTACAGGGTAGGTGGACAGAGGCAAGAAAAAAAGGCCCATAAGGGAGTTGGATAGATTCTAAGTTAGTGAAGAAGGAACTGAGGACAAGAGGAGGGTAACGGATGATGGGAAAATGGTGAGGTGACTGAATTGGGAGCTTTGGTGAGGTAAAATGACTGGTGAGTGGGAAGTAGGAGAGCAAGGAGTTTTCTGGAAGGGAAGAAAGTTGGGTGTTTGAAATCTGCCTGGGGGAGGTGATGTAGTTACTGGCTGGGGTTTTTATTGTGGAAAACCTCTATAAAATTGTGGGGTTTTATAGAGGAAAAGATGGGTGTGAAGAGGACTGGGGAGTGATAGATGAGCCACCAGGATATTGCACGGAGACCGAAGCAGTGGCAGAAGACAAGCGGGGCAAGCGCTGTCTGTAGTGACACGGAGTGCCGGGAGGTCAGTCGGTGACAGGGCTGAGGGGCAGCGGGCAGTAGAGCCCCCGGCATGAGCTCAGAGAAGCTGATTGGGGCAGGGTGAGGACTGGGTCAGAGGACGTGGCCGTGGGGGCCGAGATGCTTTCCGCGGGCCATCTGTCCTACCAGCCTTCCCCCTTCCGCTTTGTAGTCCGTGTCTCCCACAGCATTCCTGGTACAGGACAGCCTGAACTCTTACTGCTGTGGGGTTGAAATGGGCTCTGAACATCTATAGAAAGTAACAGTTTTGGAACGCTTTATAGTCCAAGGCATTGTTTTATAAGGGGGAGATTACCTTCCATCTGGACACGTTCCATGTCTTTTATTCAGCGTTGATCACACAATGCAGAGTGTCTCATTCTGGAAAATACCTTGTATGCGTGATCTTCTGGGGCTCAAAAAAGCTTCATCACAGATCAGATGAGTTCATGATTATGAACTCGTTTTGAAAAGGAGTGAGCATGGCTCAGTGATTCTGGACCCTTTTTGATGGCAGGGATCTTATTTTTAGTAAGTTTTGTTTTTAAAAGCTAATTCTTGTTCTCATGTGATAGTTGTATATTCAGTATCCATTGAGAAAATGCTAAATGATAAACTACTTTGAATTTAGAAGTACTTAAATGAATTTTGGTTTTATTAATTATGACAGCATTCACATACACTTGGAAAATGTTCGACATTTGTTCAGTCTGTATTCAGAGCAGTAAAGAAAATGTCTTGAGAAAGTAGAATGGGCTTGATGGATTCAGACTTGGCAAAAACTCTCAGCACTTTCCCAGGGTCACAGAGCTCACAGATGATTAGAAATCGCTTCTGTGATGTAGAGAATATAAGTGCAAGGTATCATTATTATTAATTATTGTAATTACTTAGGACCAGATGTTATAATAGTATTCATTTTAAATGGCATCCTGCCAGCAGCAGGTGATTACCTAAAACTATTTTCCTGGTGTACTTATTAAGCTTTTTCTCTCATGTCACGGAACTAAGGAAAAGGTGGTTTATTAGAAATGAAATCCAGATGGTCTCAAACAGCTCGGTAGTCATTTAAAGTTATTAATGTAACTGCAGAGCCTTGAAATACACAACCATTATTGCCAAAGCAATGTAATCCCAATCTGTTGGAGCATACATTTTTGGAATTATTTTACCTGATAAATTACTGAATTTCATAACTCTTATCAGCATACTGTTTTGAGGTGTGAAAGTATGTGTTCAGTTCAAAGAGCTACAATTTACACAAAGCTTTGAGTTCCACTGGGTTTCATGTTTAATTTAGGGGATGGAGGTAAATTTAGCAGTAACACTAATAGCTCTCGGGTTTGTAACTTTCTGGAATTACAGACAGAAAGTTTATTACGTTTTGTAAGTGGAATTTTAAAATCCTACTCGGCTCATTATTTTGTGAACATTTTTCAGGGAGAAAGATTAAATGAAATTAGCTACATTCTGCTGTGGGCTTGATTAATCCTGGGCAGATCAGTGGCTAAAATAATTATCTTAATAATACCTTACTTACATTCATTGTTTATTTTAGTCTTATAACTCTCAAAAGAGACAGGACATTTTATAGACTACCACATGCGATTCATAGAGATTGGCGTGTCCAGAGGCTTATAGCCAGTAAGTCAAACACTATAATGTCTAACCACCTCACCTTTGTACCTTTTATCCAAAAGTTTCAGGAATGGCCAATTGGTGGGTCTGTCAGCATTTACGGTTTGGCTACCTCTCCTAAACTGTGGCTGGTGAAAACATGAGTCTAATAGAAGTTACAAGGCACACAGCCTTGAAAGCAAAGCCCTGTGACTTGCTAATTTCAGTATTGGGAGCTCTTGAGTTTGGCTCCTACCTCAACTATTGCAGTACATGTAGCATACAGGTCATTTTGTTAATTTAACTTTATTTTTTCTTAATAAGCAAGTGAATTACAAGACTTTACCAATGCTGTGGATGTTTTTCCCTTCTGCTTATAAAAGTAATATATACTTTTATTGTAGATTTTTTAGGAAAGCATTTAGAAAATTAAAATTACCCATAATCCTACTACGCAGAGAGAGCTAGTGTATTCCCTATTTATTTGTAAATATTATGTAAACATAGAGTTGAGTTGATATTTATAAGTCATATCTTACTTTTTTTTTTTTTTGTAAGTCATCTATGCCTAACGTGGACTTGAACTCACCACCCCAAGATCAAGAGTCATACGCTTTACTGACTGAGCCAGCCAGGCACCCCATTTCTTCCTTTTTTCACTTGCCATTTTCTCATGTCACTAAAAAGCCTCAATTCTTCATGTCAGATGATTATAAAATATTCAGCTATATGGATATACCATAGTTTATTTAATCATTCCTCTTTTAATTGCATATTCAGGTTGTCTCTGCAGACTTATAAGTGGAGACATTAAATTTTAGATGCTTACTCTGTGCTTAATTCTTGGGTATTAGAGCATGGATGCGGCTTTCAGAGAGAACCAAGGAGAAGTGAGAGAAAGCGGTGGAGACAGAGGGCATGGGAGTGGCCCTGCCTCTTTACCCATTTCCTTATGACTGACACAAAGTTCGTTTCTTTAACATAAAAAAGCTTCTTTGACATACTGTGAAAGCTACCTTTGTTAATAGAGCTGAATGCATCTTGTATTTCTTTAGGGATAGGTCCCTGGAAATAGAATTTTTTTTTTTTTTAATCTTTATTTTTGAGAGACAGCATGTGAGCAGGGGAGGAGCAGAGAGAGAGGGAGACACAGAATGCAAAGCAGGCTCCAGGCTCCGAGCTGTCAGCACAGAGCCTGACGCGGGGCTTTAACTTACGAACTGTGAGATCATGACCCAAGCCGAAGTTGGCTGCTCAACCGACTGAGCCACCCAGGTGCCCCGGAAATAGAATTTTTGTGTCAAAGCTCTTAATGACTATGGCCAGATTGTCTTCTGTAATACTACATTTTACCTCCATCAGCAGTATATGAGAGTTTAGGAGTCATTAGACCTTGAACTACATTGAGCACAATCTTTTTTAACTATATAAGCGTTTTCTTGCCTTAATTAATATTTCTTGTATTGCTGACCAATTGGAGCTTTTATTTGATAAATTAAATAGACATTTCATTTCTTCTGAGTTGTCTATTCATTTCCTTTCCTCATTTTTCTGTCAGAATTAGTGATTTTCTTTTCTTTAAGATTTTGTTTTATTTTAAAGTTTATTCTTTTAAGAGGGGGGGGGGGCGGAGAGAATATCCCAAGTAAGCACCAGGCTCCATGCTGAGCCTGACTTGGGGCTTGATCTCATGACTGTGAGGTCAAGACCTGAGCCAGAATCGAGTCGGACACTTAACCTTCTGAGCCACCCAGGCAGCCCTGCGATTTTATTTAAGTACTCACAACCCTGAGATCAAGAGTCACACCTTCTTCCAACTGAGCCAGCCAGCTGGCCTTGAATTAGTGATTTTCTTACCAGTTTGTATGAGAGTTCTTTCTGTTAGTATGCAATCTTTTGTCAAGGATTTTTCTTTTTAAGGACTTGTTATAAAACATAGTTATCAATCTAGTTTTCTGGTGTCAGCTAGCCCATGTGATTTTTTTCAAGGCCTGATAATATGCTGACTGGTTATAAGTCTACATAATTCAGTTTTTAGATTAACTGCCTATTTTAAGTAATGTTGATAATGCGTTTTGTCTTTCCAGAAAGAAGAAATGATGTAAATAATTTACTGTCCAAACTTTGAGGTCAGAGGTGAGAAGGAAGGTCAGGAAGACTATGGCCTGGCCAAATATTTTTCAAAGAGGAACTCTGTTCTCCCGATTCAGCCATCATCACGTTGTTGTGTTCTTGCTCACCTTCTTCAGGTATGTGGATGGATTGCTAAAACTGTTCTCTTGTGTGTTTTGGTTTGTTTGTTTGTTTGTTTGGGAGAGGTACTTACTGCATGGCAAGTGTTGAATGCACGAGTTGGCATGGGTTTATGAACTGGCTAGTTATTCTTTCTGTTGTACTTTTTGGTAGCCCCGTGGGCAATGTTTGCCCATATTTGGCCAAAATGTTTGGCATTTTTGGTTGTCACACTGGGGGAAGGGGTGCCACTTGGAGTGGATAGAGACCAGGGATGCTGCTACAGACAGACCCTACGGTGCACAGGCTGGCCTCCCACAACGGAGAATTTTCAGGGCCCAAAATGTCAGTAGTGCCACGGTTGAGAAACTGGTTCAACATGAAATTCTTTCTTTACTAAAACCAGGAGCTTCAGAACACAGGATGCACGTGTTCAGGATATGCCCTGTGCATCCTTGAGAAGTAAAGTAAAAATTGTATGAGACAATTGTAAGGAGCATGACCAAGGAATCATCAGTATTTGTGATTCTGTGGCCCTCAGTGGCTCTCTTTAGTGGTCCATAGATGATATAAACCAGGCTGTTTGGTTTTAGGAGCCATGTTACTTATAACCCTGTGGCTCAGCTGTTTTGATGATTTCTTCTGGGTAGATTTTCTTTGGTTAATCTTTATTGAAGGCACCACAAATGATGTGATAGGTTTGTTTGGTTGTTTTAAGGCAGAACTAGGAAATGGTTCTCTAATTGTGTAACAGTTGATAGGTAGTTTTGGATGCTTTTTTTAGGGATAGCCGTTTGTTGGGGATGAGAGGAGGCATCAATATGAGGAAAAGACAGCACTCAAGAGAAAGCTACTGAGTGGCTAGTACAACAACAAGGGGCCAGTGGTTGCTAAAGACTTAAAATTCTTTACAGAACTGCCTCCATGATTTAAAGTCGGTTGGGATCAATCACGTATCTGTCTTCTAGGTGGAGGGATAAGTTAGGAGTGAACACAGGGGCTTATACAAGAAGACTAGTTAAGTTTTTCTTTAAAAAAAAAAAAATTTTTTTTTTAACATTTATTCATTTTTTGAGAAACAGAGTGTGAGTGGGGGAGGGGCAGAGAGAGAGGCAGACAGAGAGTCCGAAGCAGGCTCCAGGCTCTGGATGGAGAGCACAGAGCCCAGTGCAGGGTTCAAACTCACTGTGAGAACTGTGAGATCATGACCTGAGCTGAAGTCAGATGCTCAACCGACTGAGCCACCCAGGCACCCCCAGTTAAGTTTTTCTTTTGCTTGGCAGACTGTTTCTGTTGATAAAGCAAAACTTTTTTTTTTTTTTAAGAGAAGAATTCTAAAATTGAATAAAACAAATGGGTTTTTATTGAATGCCATTTTCTTTGCTATTCTTTCAGCTGTATTTCTTTTCTCTTTTGCAGTTATTCGTTGCTCCACGCATCAAGAAAAACTTTTAGCAATGTCAAAGTCAGTATCTCTAAGCAGTGGACCCCAAGTGCTTTTAACAAGTCCATTAGATTGCCTGTAGAGGTAAGTGGAACAAAGTGCTAGGACGGGTTCAGGAAGCGAGCCATGCCCACCCCTAAATTCCTCTGAAATTCTTCTAGTTTGTTTCGTTCATCTGCTTAGGACTCTGAAAAATGGCTGTTTCCTATGGCATAAAACCCAAACTATTCTGCCTGATTCTTAGCTTGCCCTGACTCAGACCTGTTTTACTTACCGTTCTATCCAGCTGCTTTCTCACCGTTTTGAAGTGACACAGTTCTGGTGAGACTGGTTTTTAATTGAGTTTCACAAGCACCTGTACTCATTTCTGCCTTTGAGATTTTGCTTATGTTCTTTTTTAGGCTCTTTCTCTTTTTTCCTTCCCATCTAAATCTGGCTTTTCCCTCTGTGGCAAGATAAAATGCCACTTTTTCTTTTTTAGGTAATCTCTGCACCCAACGTGGGACTTGAACTTGCAACCCAGAGTCCAAAAGTCACATGCTCCACCAACTGAGCCAGCCAGGCGCCCCTAAAATGCCACTTTTTTCTATCAAATTTTTTCCTAGCTTCCACTAATTCCTCCCCCCGCCATCTGAACTGTGTATGGTGTGTTACATAGTTTAATGTCTCAGTATTTAGGTACCTTGTGATTGTTTCATTTGTTTGTATCTTGCTTAAGAGTCTAGAAGTCAGGGAGTATGTATCCACTTCTTTGAATTCATTATGGATCAAGTGAATCCTTTGATGACCAGTTGGAATGGAGATGCTATTCTTTACAATACCCTATTTCAATATACAAATCCACTCCATGCATTATTTTAATGTTTTCATGTTTATTTTTCAGAGGGAGAGAGAGGAGAGAGAGAGACAGAGACACAGAGAGACAAAGCATGAACGGGGGAGGGGCAGAGAGAGAGGGAGACACGGAATCTGAAACAGGCTCCAGGCTCAGAGCTGTCGGCACAGAGCCTGATGCGGGGCTCAAACTCATGCACCACGAGATCATGACCTGAGCTGAAACCAGGAGACAGACACTCAACTGACTGAGCCACCCAGGTGCCCCACTCCATGCATTCTTTACCACATACCTTGAGTTCTACTTATGTGGAATTGTAGATACATATTAATATTCTTGGCATGTCTTCTTTTTTTTTTTTAATTTTTTAAAATGTTTTTATTTATTTTTGAGACAGAGAGAGACAGAGCATGATCAGGGGAGGGGGCAGAGAGAGAGAGGGAGACACAGAATCTGAAGCAGGCTGCAGGCTCTGAGCTGTCAGCACAGAATTGGATGTGGAGCTTGAACTCATGAGCTGTGAGATCATGACCTGAGCTGAAGTCGGACGCTCAACCGACTGACCACCCAGGTGCCCCATAACAGGAACTTTTAAAAGGAAAGATGTTAGGAATAGAGGGTTAGATTTCACACTGAGTCTTGACAGTGCTGTGTGCTCCCTGAGTACATCTAAATGATCAAATGACTTGTCACAAACCTTGGAGTGCCCTTGAAGGGGTCATGTGCTCTAACCTCTCAACCAGTATAGATGCTTTCTTTGTCATTTTGAAAGATGATCACTCACCTTCTGCTTTAATACTTCTAGAAAGTTCTTTCTTATATTAGGGAAAAGTATTCTGCTGTTTAATTTTGATCTTGGGTTTTCTTCCGAGCCATTCGTAGTAGTCGATTCCTGCTGCGTGACAGCCTGTTGAATATTCAGAGAAGACCTTTCTTCCTAAGTTTCTCTTATTTAGGCCAACGTGCGTGGTTCCTTGAACTGTAGCGTAGTGGTGCTGTGTGCTGAATGTGATTTTGCAGGTGCAGTCTGATTAATATACAGAGCAATAGGATTTGATTTCGGCACTAAGTTTCTGGTTATGCTGCCTAAGGCTGCCTTTGTTTTTTAGGTAACTGAGTTTGGCCGCCCCCAAGACCACCCCCAGGTTTGATGATTCACCTAGAGGACTCACAGGACTCAGCTTATAGTCATATTCGTAGCTGTGGATTATTACACTGAAAGGATACAGAGCAAAATCAGCAAAGGGAAAAGCATAGGCTGAGTTCTGGAGGAAGCCAGGTGCGAGCTTCCAAGAGGACTTTTTCAGTGGGCTCATACAGGATGTATGTGATTCTTCCAGCAACAGGTTGTGACAACCTGTTTACCAGGGAAGGTTATTAGAGACTCAGTGTCCAGTGTTTTTATTGGGACTGGTCACATAGGCACCTTGTGCCTGACATGTACAAAAATTCCAGACGCCTAGGAGGAAAGGTTCAGCGTAAACCACATTGTTTGTACAAACAGTTTAGGTACAGTGAACCACTCTTAGTAGGAAAGGATGGGAACATTCCCAAAATCCAAGTTCTCAGGTGCCAGCCAGGGGCCAAACTCACAAGTAGGCGTTTTTGAGGAGAACAGTCTCAGGCCTGCTCTGTTAACTCTTTATTGCCAGTAACCATGTTAACATTATTATCTCTTGTGGGACTTGTATTAACTTTTCTGCTTAGGTGTTTATTTACTTACTCTAATTGCTGCTAAAATAGATTTCACCATTCTGGTTTTTCAGAACTGTGGGTTAAGTACTTTGGATGGGTTGGTTATATAGAAGTCACGTTCAGACTTATCCTGGAGATCTTTGTATTTCCGTCTCTGCTGTCGTGGAGAGCAGTGCTGACCTTCCATTCCTTTCTTTACACTTTAAGGTCTGGGTTTTTTTTCTTTCCTTTTCTTTTCTAAGCCTACTGCTGGGAGTGGAACAGCTGGGGTGATACGTACTTTTCACTCTTCCTGTGCTTCTGTGTCTGTAACTGTCAGCGCTAGCCTCCATTTGAGACTTGCTTTCTTGTCTGAAGTGGGAAGAGTTCTTAGAACCAGAAGTTTATGGGGCACTGGAGTGGCTCAGTGGGTTAAGCATCTGACTCTTGATTTTAGCTCAGGTCATGATCTCACGGTTCATAAGATCGTGCCCTGCATCGGGCTTTGCACTGACAGCATGGAGCCTGCTTGGGATTCTCCCTTCCTCTCTCTCTTTCTCTTTCTCTCTCTCTCTCTGCCCCTCCTCTGCTCATTCATGCTCTCTCTCTCTCTCAAAATAAATAAACTAAAAAAAAAAAAAAAAAAAAAAAAAAAAGAACCAGGGGTTTATGTAAAATTATTCTGAAAAATAGTTTGCTAACATAGCGTTAAACATTTAAGTGTCCTGAACAGCATCATCAAAAATTACTTATTATAGTTTTCATTTTTTTTTTCAACGTTTATTTATTTTTGGGACAGAGAGAGACAGAGCATGAACGGGGGAGGGGCAGAGAGAGAGGGAGACACAGAATCGGAAACAGGCTCCAGGCTCTGAGCCATCAGCCCAGAGCCTGACGCGGGGCTCGAACTCACGGACCACGAGATCGTGACCTGGCTGAAGTCGGACGCTTAACCGACTGCGCCACCCAGGCGCCCCTATAGTTTTCATTTTAATGCATAGCTATCTAGATGCTTTACAAAAAGAATTAAGTACACACAGTCTCTTCACCTGAGAATTTATCATGGATCCCACTGATATGGATGAACACTGAAAATAGGGAACAGAACATAAAATCTATGTTTAGAGATAGCAAGGAGGTAATGGTTAAATTTAATATTTGAGGACAACTTGACTGAAAATTGTAAGCAAGATTTTGTTCTCTTAAATTAAAAAGCCTTACCTCCCCAGACAGTACAGTCCTTCCATGAGAGCAGTGTGATTGAGTCTAAGCTGTCCAGGAGAGGGTAGCAGGATTCAGGGTGTCCTCAACACTCTGTCTCAAGCTCATCCGCAGCTGCTCTTCCCCAGCAGAATCTCACGGAAAGCGATACCACTCACTGTGGTCAGAGAGCAGACCCCAGAACGGAAGTCAGCTTTAACTCATTCTCTGTGCACCACTTCAGGAAGCTCTTGTCAGTAGTTCCCCACCCCATGCCTCGCCCTCACTCTGTGCTAAACATTCTTACTTAGGAAACCCCCACGCACACAATTTCATGCTTCCAGGAAGTGCCTCGGTGCTTAGTACAGCCCCTCCCCCCCACAACACGCGAAAACCCGACATGCATACAGGCCGGGGGAGGGGGGGCGGGGGTTCCCATGTTAATTGTATGTGCATGCAGGCCAGCTCAGCTACACCACTGCAGTGCATGGGATTTCACCGTGTGCAAGTCATTTCATTAAACACTGGGTGATTTGCTCTGTATGCATGGACCATTTCTCACTGGTATGTATCCTTCTGACAAGTCTGTCTGACTTCTGTTGTTGAAGGGAACTTTCTTTAGTAGGCTTGTTCTCTTACTCTATTTTCTGTATCTTTCTGTTAGTACTATTTTGTTTTTTTGTTTTTGTTTTCCACTTGTTAAGTAGACCATCAAAAGTATATTTCAGCTGAATTCTGGTAGTAAAGCAAAAGAAAGCTATTTGAAATCTGTCCGTTCTTGTGAAAGCCACACCTGCAGGGAGTTTTGGTGACCTCTTGAGAGAGTAAAGAAGGACTCCTGAAACTTGGGGCAGCTGTTTGAGGCCACTGTCTCTAGCTCACATTGATGTGTGCCCAACAGGGCTTGGTCCTGGGTCCTAATGAGCATCGGGGCGGAAGATTGTGGCCTGAGGCAAAATGACTCGAATTGGGGAACTTTAGGGCCCCACTTAGTGCATGGAAATACCGATTGATCATTGTGTGGGCTGCTCTTTTCTCTACGTGACAGCGTGTGAGGTGTTGTTAAAGGAGCAAGACTGATGCCTGAAGCCACACAGAAATAAGTCCCAATCCTTTAGAATCACACTTTATGCATTCTTTTATAATTTGGGGATTTTACTTTCTGTTAAACATTTTTTTTCTTTATTGCTGATTGTGATTTTTCTCTTTAATATTCTAAATTTTTTTTTTTCAACGTTTATTTATTTTTGGGACAGAGAGAGACAGAGCATGAACGGGGGAGGGGCAGAGAGAGAGGGAGACACAGAATCGGAAACAGGCTCCAGGCTCTGAGCCATCAGCCCAGAGCCCGACGCAGGGCTCGAACTCGTGAACCGTGAGATCGTGACCTGGCTGAAGTCGGACGCTTAACCGACTGTGCCACCAAGGCGCCCCTCTTTAATATTCTAAAGTCAGAATTTCTTTCCTGTAACAACCCATCTCAGAAATCATTTATTCTAGGAGTTCTCTCAGTTTTTGGGTTGAGGACCCCAAAGAGTTTTTGGTTTTGTGGGTTTACATTTATAGATATTTTAGAAATTAAAACTGTTTTAGAAATTAAAACTGAGAAATTTAGGGGCGCCTGGGTGGCTCAGTCAGTTAAGTACCCCACTGCAGCTCAGGTCATGATCTTGCAGTCTGTGAGTTCAAGCCCCGTGTCGGGCTCTGTGCTGACAGCTCGGAGCCTGGAGCCTGCTTCAGATTCTGTGTCTCCCTCTCTTTCTTTCTCTATCTCACAAAAATAAATAAACATTGAAAAAATTTTTTTAAAAACCTGAGAAATTGGAAAAAAACCCACCTCATCTCTTTTTTAGTTATTTTTTAAATGAATTAAGTAAATCCATAATGTGTTAACGTAAATGACATTTTATAAAAAATGAGTTTTCAAGACAAAAAAAATCACTTCATGAGGAGAATGACATTGATTTACATTTTTGCAAATCTCACATGTGGCTTAGTAGAAGATAGTAGAGTTTCAGTCTGCTTCTGAATTCAGTCTCTTGCCATCTGATCCTTTGCACTGTTTGAAGAGAATTTGGCCTTTCACAGATACACAGTGGAAAGGGGAGAAGTACTTTAAGAGCTTTTTCAGCTGATTGTGGGCATGTGTCTTTGATAGTACACCAGAATTTGACAAGTGGCAATTTCTTAAAGGTTAGTTGCCGTGTGGAATCTGAAACTGTATCGATTAGCTTTTTGTACACTTATATTAAGATCCATTTGTCTGTCTTGTACTTTGAATGGATTTTGAAGTGACAGGATCATTTCGTTCTTTTTTGAGGACATATCTGCCAAATACCCAAATCTGAATAACTGTGGCTCCTCTGTCAGTCATTCTTCCAAGTAAAAAAAAACCGTATTGTGGCTCGTACTTCACACGCTGCACGTGTGCTCTTCCTCGGGACAGCCATGGTGCCTGGATGCCGAGCACTGGCACACAGAATATTAGAGATAAGCGGACTTGAGGGCCAGATTTAATAAATTTAATACTTTTTGCTTCTCACCAAATATTTGAGCATCTAGCATGTACCAAGGACATTCTTAAGTGAAATCGGCCTGTTTTTGTTTTTTTGTTTTTTTAACTGTGAGCATGGCCATAAAGAATATACGATTAATAGTAGGGTCTGGCGTAACGGCCTTGACTCATGCTGAGCCACGAGGAGTTTTACCCACCGCTGCATACGCGCCGTCAGTGCAAAAGAAGAAAAAAAGCAGCTCACATTTTCGTATTGTGCAAATAGCTTTGACCTTGCAAACCCTCTCGTGTGTGTTTCCTTATCTACAGAGTGCTGATTTCCTCTGTGCAACCTCCCCAGGGCTCTGTGAGGGCGGGCAGAGGCCGTAGGTGCAGGTGCTTTGAGAGAGAGAGAAGGACTGACAGGTACCGGTGGGGACTGACCTGGCTCTTGTGTTGTTGTAGATCTGGAGCAGCAACCATTTGTTCCCCAGCGCAGAGGAGGCCACTCTTTTCCTTGGAACGCTGGACACCATTTTCCTCTTCTCTTATGCTGTGGTAAGTTTTAGAATTTGAGGGTTTTAGGTTGAGGAAAGATGTTATATGGAAATGACTGCACACTTACGAAGTGTTTAAGGGATTCTAGAATTTCCTGACCCAGGAGAGTTCAGTTTTGCCGAAGTTTATATTTTGTGTTCTTCCCATCCATCTACCCAGCCATTCATTCATTTTTCATCCATCTGACAAATATTTACTGAGAACCTATCATGCGCCAGATACTCTTCTAGTCTGTGGGAGTTCATCAGTGAGCAACACAGGAAAAATCCCTAGCTTTATAAAGCTTACGTTCTTGGGTGGGAGCTAAGGAGGACCAACAGTAACACGGCGCTGTACATAAGCAAATAAAGAGGATGGGTGAAGGTGATAGGTGCTGTGGAGAAGAATAAAGCAGGGAAAGGGGAATACATAGCCCCGGGTGGGAGTTGTAATTTAGGTAGGATGGCTGGGGAAGACCTCGGGTGGGAGGCTGTATTTGAGCCAAGACCCGATGTGAATGAGGTCTGGGTGATTAGAACAGAGAGACAGGAAGTGAGGCCAGAGAAGGTATGGGGCTCAGACCTTTAGGGCTTTGGTCCCTTTGTTGGGGCTTTGACTTTAACGTTGAGTGAGATGGGAGCCATGGAAGGTTTTGCGCAGACGAGTGCTGGGATCTGCCCCGTGTTTGTACAGGTGCACTTGCTGCCCTGGGTGACCGAACCAAGGGCAAAGGCAGAAACAGGGAGACAGGTTAGGCTATTCCGGTTTTGAGGTGAAGGATGATGATGTCTCAGATCCAGGGTGGGGTAACAGAGGTGGGAAGAGGTAGATTTTACCTGTGTTCTGAAGGTAGAACCAATAATTCTTTTTCCTGTTGCGTGTGGAATATAAGAGAAAGAGAGGTGTCGAGAACAACTCTAGGGTAGAAGTATCATAGCAGAGTGGAGGACGGTGGGAGGGGTAGGCTTTGGGGGCAGTCTCTTTTAGATAGGTTGCATGTGACATACCTATTATTGCCCAAAGGATGAAGAGTAGACATTTGATTATGTGAGTCTCGAGTTCAAGGTAGAGGGTCAGCCTAGGGGTACAGATTTCAGAGTCTTTGGCATCTAGATAATTTTCAGTTAGGAGACTGGATGGAATCATCCAAGGAGCAGGTGAGGATAAAGAAGAGGTGCGACAACTGAGCCATGGGGCTTCTGTTATCTCGAGGCAGGGGACGTGAAGAACGGGCACGTGGGCAGAGGTGCAGCAGTAAAGGGGGAGAACCGAGAGATGGTGGTGTCCTGGAAGCCATACCAGCATGGCAGGCGCTAATTCTCTGTCCAAGGTAGTCGTCTTGGATCGGGCAGCTGGGATCTCTGGTTGTGGGAGCTGTGTGGTGGCGGCTGAGTTCAGGCCGCGGGGAGCATACTGTGAGCCGTCCGTGCTTTTCTCCCAGGGTCTGATTTCCTCTCTTGCAGATGTGTCCAGTTATAAAAAAGCCTTTGATTACATATCCAGGTGATGTGCAACACCAAGTGAAAGTCCCAGAGTAATCTCTGAGTGTTTCTTTGGGCAATTATTGGAATATCTTTTCTTCAAAGAGGAAGCCTGTAGTAGTAGAAACAGTTGGAGCAGATCGTGGATCAATTAGCCTAACTTCACCCTGGGCATTTTGAGTAGGAAATCCCAATAACGTGGTCATTCAGCTATAGGTGGAGCACCCCCTGTGGGTGGAGCACCCCTGTGGGTGGAGCACTCCCTGGAGTGCTTGTCACTGAGCCTTTACGGTGTATGTTAAGAAGCAGCATCGTCCAGTGCAAAGACCACCTCTACCACAGTCAACTGGCTGTGTCATATTTGTTTTCCAAATGGAATTTCACCCTTTTTTTGATCTTTAGTTTCCTCTTCTCTAGAGTTGTGATCATACCTGTCACTAGGATTCAGTAGGTTTAGGAGATAAAGGGGCCACGGGCAGTCAGTGATCATGCTTCTTTATATCGAGCCGCATGTCCTTCTGGCACTTCAGGCATCATGTAGGCATTTGGAATAGCACAGAATAAATTGGTTCCCTCATCTGAAACATTGAGAGATTTTCTTCACCCCCTTTACTGTCTGTAGCATAAGACGTGTGAGTGGCAGCTACAGAACATAGAATCTGAAGCTTCCGGGTGTTTCTTTTGAAGTAGCGACAGGTCGATGATGAGACATACCATCTGTTTTCTCTAGTGTAGATACAGTCGGTGTATCAGAAACACCTATACCTGGATTTAGGTTTTCAGTCAAGACGTTTATTCATATTAATGGAAGAAACCCAGTGTATTGCCCTTGGCTCCTTAGTCTGCCTTGCGGCCGTGACCACCGGATTTTGATTCTTGCCGCTCAGTGGGAGGAGAGCAGGAGGCAGAACGTTTGTACTTATCTTCAACTAATTATTGGCTTTGTGCCCCTACACTCCCTGCCTCGCGAAGTCACAAAGCCCAAGGGTCAGATTAAGCAGGCAGTGCTTGTGCCCCAGAAGCTTCTGTTGTGCAGGACGCGTTGTGACACATCTTGATTTCAGAATGCAAATGGCTAAGTGTAACCCCTGTGGGAATGCACATCGCTGATCCTTAGGAGTTAATCTGTTCTAGAAAATGAAATATATTTGTGTGCTTGTTTCATTAGCATTTTTGCTTTGTTTTGTTTTTGGTTTTCCAGTCTCCTTTTTAGGCAGTGATGGGGATCCACTTGTGGTAGAACCAGAGTTTACACTGGATTGTAGTATTTGGGTACATGAGTTTGTTTACAGTGTAATGTGCAGAAACCCACTGTCATTTCACGAAACATGTGTGAAACTGATGGAGACAGCTAGTCTGGGCTTATGAATGAAGTTTAATTTTGAGTCATGTCAGTGTTTTGTTTCCCTCACCTGCATTGCATTGTATCTTCCTGTTTTTCATGCTGTGTCATTACTCAGAGCTGTAAAATAAACATGCTTTATTTTTAGGGCCTTTTCATCAGTGGAATTGTTGGAGATCGGCTTAATTTGCGATGGGTTCTGTCGTTTGGCATGTGTTCTTCTGCACTAGTGGTAAGTTGAAAAGGTATTAGTGTTATCATTATCGACATCATCAATATTATCATCTTGGTCAGGTATTTTGGAATCCAAGTCCTCTCTCTATTTCTATACGTAGAACAGGAGAGTAGAATTAATCTTCCATTTTTTTAGTAACTTGTGTGCCTTTTCAACTTGAGGGAATCTTTTTATTTTTTATTTTTATTTTTTTTTAATATTTATTTATTATTGAGAGACAGAGCATGAGGATGGGAGGGGCAGAGAGAGGGGGAGACACAGAATCCGAAGCAGGCTCCAGGCTCCGAGCTGTCAGCACAGAGCCCGACGTGGGGCTCGAACTCACAAATTGCAAGATCATGACCTGAGCCAAAGTCAGACGCTTAACCGACTGAGCCACCCAGGCGCCCCATCACTTAGGGGAATCTTTTTAAAGTGAGATTTGGATCATGCCCCTTCCCTGATTCGTTCACCACCAAAGCCAAGCATAAATAGCACGGCATTCAGTGCTCTCAAGAACCTGGTCCTGAGCCGCCTTGGTAGTTGGGTTGACCACTACACTTCACCACTTGGATCTGGCCATAATTTTTCCCGTGGTCCTAACACAGCCTGTGTCTTTCTGCCTCACTCTCTTTGCTCTCGCTCTTCTTCCTGCCTCCAATGGCTCCCTGTTCAGTTAGCTCTCCATAGTCTAACTCAGGGTCTCCTGCAAGTGACTGGCTAAATGGCAGTTCTTTCATAGTGCCTTACTCTCCTGACCTCCTTCGTTCCTGAAAGGGATCGCTTCCTCTTCCGGGCTCCCCCGCCATAGCACTTACATTGTCTGCTGCTTGGGCTGCTGATTTCTGTATCAGTCTTGCTTTCCCTGGGAGTCTGCAGCATGATGGTTGAGGTCACAGATTTCCCGAGACCTGGACTACCTGGCTGTCACTTCCTCTTCCGCCATCTCCCAGCTGCCATTGCTCTTGCTTCAGCCTCATTGAAGACCTCCCCATAGGGCTGATAGGGAGGCTCTTGCGAGTTTCTACGTGCGAGGCCTGGGGAACAACGCCTAGCTAATTTAGTGCTCTAGAGGTCAAGATCCACATTTGATGCATCTTTTTTGTTTGTTTGTTTCTTAGCTCCTAGTGAGGAATTTTTATTGGTTGAATGAAAGCATGGATTTCAGTTAGACCCTATTTTATGATGATTTTCTGATATCTGCCACTTGAGAGATTGAAACACTTCATTCATTCGTAGCCTGCTCGCCTACCCACGTATACATCTTATTTTAAAACCTGTGTACATTTTGTTTTGTTTTTTTTACATTATTTGAAAAATTGAAGTATGTGCATGAACTCACCCTTCTTGGTGTGTGGTTCCAAGTTTCAACAAACGAGTCCAGTTGTGTCACTACCGTTCTTCCCTCCTCCCCCAGCCTCTGGTCAGCAACCACTGACCGTTTTTCTCTCCTTATACTTTTGCTTATTCCAGAATGGAAACATATAGTATGGTGCATTCCATTTTTTAACCCATGCAGAATATTCCCCAAAGAAATTTCAACTGCAGACAAAATGTTCACTTGAGCAAAATGCCTACAAAAAGCAGTTGCTTGGCGAACGCTACTGATTTACCGAGCCGATCACAGCTTCCACCGGTTCTCTCGACAGCTGCAGTAATAATGATGCTTGTGTGTCCTGGGCCCCACGGTGTGTGTGGCCCTGCGCTGACTGACCTTATATCCACAAACTCGGTCCTTACAGTTGTCCTCCACACACATGGGCCTGAGGACGAGAAAACGAGAGCTGTATGATGGGGTCGAACAATGAGGATTGAACTTTTTAAAAAATTTTTTTTTTTTCAACGTTTATTTATTTTTGGGACAGAGAGAGACAGAGCATGAACGGGGGAGGGGCAGAGAGAGAGGGAGACACAGAATCGGAAACAGGCTCCAGGCTCTGAGCCGTCAGCCCAGAGCCCGACGCGGGGCTCGAACTCACGGACCGCGAGATCGTGACCTGGCTGAAGTCGGACGCTCAACCGACTGCGCCACCCAGGCGCCCCGAGGATTGAACTTTTTAGAGCAGAAGATCCACGTTGAGCCGGGGGGTGGTCGTCAGGGAGCTTTGTGTTGTTTGACGTCTTTCGTCAGTGGCGGCAATTTGGCGTGTTTGTCTTACTCGCTCGGTGCTGCTCTGAGCAGGAGCCTCTGGAGAGTCAGCCGCGTGTCTCTTAGGCCCGGGACCCTTGAATGTGTCTCTTCACGCAGAAACATAAGCATGGTAGGCAGTTAGGTGTCCTCTAGGTGTCTGTGTGGATGTCACGTGTCCCTTTTTCTTCCCTTCCTCGTAGGTGTTCGTCTTTGGCCCTGTCACAGAATGGCTGCATTTCTACAACAAGGGCCTCTACTGCTGTCTGTGGATTGGGAATGGCCTGCTGCAGTCTACCGGTTGGCCCTGTGTGGTTGCGGTTATGGGCAACTGGTTTGGGAAAGCGGGGTATGCCACTCCCCTTGTCTTTAATTTCTCTTTTTAAGTGGTTTTAATATCAGATTATTCACACCTGTCATCAGTCAACTTGATCTTTTTGATCCTTCCCGTGCCTTCCCTCTATTTTAGAAAGAATAGTTGAGAGGTTTCACATTGGAGCGTGTCAGAAATGGTGTGGACTTGAGGGGTGGCCTAGCCCCGTGAGACACGTTCTTTTTTATTCTTAAATAAATAATGTTTATTTATTTTTGAGAGAGTGGGGGTGGGGAGATTTCTACGTGGGGCTCAATCCCACGACCCTGGGATCATGACCTGAGCTGACATTGAGAGTCAGATGCTCAACCAACTGAGCCATCCAGTCTACCCCCCATCCCCCAGTACATTTTCTTTTTTTTTTTTTTTTTTAATGTTTATTTTTGAGAGAAACTGACAGAGTGCAAGCAGGGGAGGGGCAGAGAGAGAGAGGGAGACACAGAATCCGAAGCAGGCTCAGGCTCTGAGCTGTCAGCACAGAGCCTGACACGGGGCTCGGACCCACGAACCGTGAGATCATGACCTGAGCTGAGGTCAGATGCTCAACCGACTGAGCCACTCAGGTGCCCCAAGATAATCTTTTTTTTTTTTAGTTTATTTTTTTATTCTGAAAGAGAGAGGAGGGTAGAGGGGCTGATAGAGGGAGAGAATCCTAAGCAGGCTCTGTGCTGCCAGCAGCTGATGTGGAGACTCGATCTCACGAATTACGAGATCAAGACCCGAGCCAAAATCAAGAGTCAGATGCGTAACTGAGCCGGGACCCGGGTGCCCCAAAGATAATCACTTTGACACATATCATTTTGAGATCATTCTTACTTGAGCTTTTATTTTTTTTAATTTTTATTCATTTAAAAAAAATTTTTTTTTAATTTATTTATTTTGAGAGAGACAGCACAAGTGGGAGAGGGGCAGAGACAAAGGGAGAGAGAGAATCCCAAGCAGGCTCTGCATTGCCTGCACAGAGCCTGATGTGGGGCTTGAACGCATGAAGCCATGAAATCATGACTTGAGCTGAAACCAAGAGTCAGACGCTTAACTGACTGAGCCATCCAGGCGCCCTCCAAAATGTTTATTTATTTATTTTGAGAGAGAGAGAGAGAGAGAGACAGAGAGAGAGAGAAAGTGTGTGGGAGGGGCAGAGAGAGAATCCCAAGTAGGCTCTATGCTGTTAGCACAGAGCCTGATGTGGACTTCATCTCATGAACCTTGAGATCATGACCTGAGCCAAAATCAAGAGTCTGAACACTTAACTGACTGAGCTACCCAGGCACTTCTTACCTGAGCTTTTATAAATTGGATGACCCTGGGTGTTTGAAAGCAGTGCCTGGACAGGTTGACCATTCCATTATTTCTATGGATCAATCACAAAGAAAAAAAACTTGAGCCATTATTGTTCATTTTTGAACATTGGACAATTTGTTTTTTTTTTTTTTAAATTTTTTTTTCAACGTTTATTTACGCTTTTTGGGACAGAGAGAGACAGAGTACGAACGGGAGGCAGAGAGAGAGGAGACAATCGAAACAGGCTCCAGGCTCTGAGCCATCGCCCAGAGCCCCGACGCTGGCTCGAACTCGACCGCTATAGAGATCGCGACCTGGCTGGAAGTCGAGCATGTTGAATCGACCGGCGCCAAATCTGCGCTTCCCGGACAATTGTTTTAAACAAGTAATACTAGTAAGTGAAATTGATGATGTGCTACTTAAGGCCCAGTGAGGTTTCCTCTAAAACACAGCAATAAAACTACACCACCACACAAAACTAAGGACACTTAAAGTGTTCTTTTCAACTGGTTTCTTCTAAAATCATGTCTTTGGTTAGCCAGTGTTGTTCAGAGGCTGACCTGACTCTTTCCTCCAGGACCCTCTTGCTAGATTTTGTATGTTTTATGATTTTTTATTTTAATTAATTAATTAATTTTAAATTTTTTAACTTTTTTTTTTTAAACATTTATTTATTTTTGAGACAGAGGAGAGACAGAGCACACAGGGAGGGTCAGGAGAGAGGAGACACAGAATTGAAACAGGTCGAGCTGTCAGCACAGAGCCCGACGCTGGGCTTGAAACTCAGACCGCTGGTGAGATCATGACCTGAGCTGAAGTTGGATTTTTTCTAACCGCCGAGCCACCCAGGCACCCCTTAATTTTTTAACATTTATTTATTTTTGAGACACAGAGACAGATAGAGCATGAGTTGGGGAGGGGCAGAGAGAGAGGGAGATACAGAATCCGAAGCAGGCTCCAGGCTCTGAGCTGTCAACAGAGAGTTCACACGCTTGGAAACTCCCCACAAACCATGAGATCATGACCTGAGCTGAAGTTGGATGCTCAACCGACTGAGCCACCCAGGAGCCCCTGTTTTATTATTTTTAAATGTTTATTTTTGAGAGAGAGAGAGAGAACACGCATGTGCACACACACACACACACACATGCAGGTAGGAGTCGGGTGCGGGGATAGAAGGAGAAGCAGAGAGGGGAGTGGGGATGGACAGAGGATCTGAAGTGGGCTCTGTGCTAAAGCAGAGACTCTGATGCAAGATTCGAACTCGCATGCGTGATCTGAGCTGAAGTCAGCTGCTTAACCAACTGAGCCACCCAGGCACCCCTTTCCTGGACCGTTGTGGTAGCTAGGTTCCCTTCCACTAGATTCTTGGTTTACCTGTTTTTTTTTTAATGGCTTTATTAAGGTATATAATAAGCTGCACAGATTTAAGATGTACCATTTGATGAGTTTTGGCATGCATACGTCCTTAAAACCACCACCACAGTTAAGAAAATGGACATATCCATCACCCCCAAGAGTTTCCTCTTGCCGTTTTGTTAAAGTCCTCTCCTCCACCACTCCTGCTACCTTCTCCCTCCCTCCCATTGCTGTCTCCAGGCAACTGTTGATCTGCTTTCTGTCACTTTAGATTACTTTGCATTTTCTAAAATTTTATATAAATAGAATCACACAGTATATAGTTTCTTGATTGCTTTCATTCAATGTAATTATTCTGAGGTTCATTCATATCATGTGTATCGATAGTTCATTCCTTTTTTTAGCCAAGTAGTAACCTATTGTATCACCATTTGTTTATCTTTTCAGCTGTTGTTGAACGTTTGGGTTGTTTTCAGTTTTTGGTTATTACAGACAAAGCCCCTGTGAACATTTGTGTATAAATCCTTAAAAGAACATATGCTTTCATTTTCCTTGGATAAATACCTCAAAGTAGAATGTCTGTGTCATGTGGTAGGTGTGTGTTTACCTTTTTAAGAAACTGGCAGTCTCTTCCAAAGTGGTTTTACCATTTTACGTTCCTGCCAGCAGAGTGTAAGGGTTCTAGTTGCTGTGTGTTCTTGCCAGCACTTGGTATATGTGGCCTTTTTTGTTTTCAGCTATTCTAGTAGGTATGCAGTGGTACATCACTGTGGTTTTCATTTGCATTTCCCTAATATCTGATGGGTCCAATATCTTTTTATGTGCTTACTTGCATCATATTTTTGTGTGCATGAAGCTTCTTTTTTTAAAACTTTTTATTTGAGATAATTGTAGATTCATACTCTTTAATGTTGTATTAGATTTTTTCCCCCTTAGGATTTAAAATTTTTTTTAAAGTAATTTCTACACCCAACTCAACTTACAACCTTGAGATCAAGAGTTGCATGCTCCACTGACTGAGCCAGCCTGACGCCCCTGGATTGTTTTGTATTACTGAGTTTTGAGAGTTCTTTGTATTTCAAATGCAAGTTTTTTATTGGATCAGTGATAGGCAAATATTTCCTCCCAATCTGTGGCTTATTTTCAAAAATCTCTTAACAGTATCTTGGGATGCACCCCGAAATGAACTTTAGTTTAATAATAGCCTTAAGGAACATGATGTTTTGTCATTTGGGTGTACTTTAAAAACATCTTAAGATAGAATGTTGATCTTTGTAATGTGGACTTCCACCATTTTGGCCATTTTGTATGGGAACTGCATCAGAATTCCTTCTGATTGTATTGTTTTCTGTTTTCTACTGTTCTCGTAGACGAGGAGTTGTTTTTGGTCTCTGGAGTGCCTGTGCATCAGTGGGCAATATTTTGGGAGCATGCCTAGCTTCTTCTGTTCTGCAGTATGGTTATGAGGTAGGTATTTCTTTCTAGCTTTTTCTTGAGTATATAAATATATTTTGTTTTTTAGGAAATAGTACTATGGCTATTTAAAACTATGTAGAGCTATGTTTGGGTGGGGCAAGGCTTGTCTTAAAAGTAGACAAACTTTTGATAAATCCAAACATAGAGATTATTCATGGGAAAAATGCCCAAGTCTAAAGACAATATAATCAATTGGGAGAAAAGTCTTTGCAACTCATGTTACAGATAAAGAACTAATCTCCCTCCTATGTAAAGAGTATCTGCAAATTGATAATAAAAAGATCAACAACAAATAGAAAGGAGGGTAAAGGATTTGAATGTGTAGTTCATGAAAAAGAAATAGAAATTGTTTTGAAATATATGACAAAATATGCCACTTTATTTGTAACTTATTCATTCAATAAATATGTATTACAGTCTAAGTGCTCCTAGGCAGTAGGGAGTAGAGCACTGGCCAGAAAAGAGAAAAATCTCTGCCTTTATGGAGCATAGGTGTTAGTTGGTAGAGAAATGCAAATTAAAACTACACTAAAAAAGAAAGGAACTATGCTGTTTACTTGTTATATTGGTAAGAATCCATAAGTTTGATAACATCTTGTGTTTATGAGAATGTAAACAAGCATTGACCCCCCCCCCTTGGAGTCACTATGAGACTGTCCATCAAAATTACAGCTGCTCTAACTGAGCTGTTCCACCTCCAGTAAGTAATCCCACAGGTGAATATACTTCCACATATACAAGGTAATATTTCTATTCGGTTATTTCAACATTGTTTGTAATAACAAAAATTGGTAACAAATGTGAACCAGTAGGGAAATAAACTGTGACATCCTCTTCAACGGAAGGCTGAAGGCCATAAATTAGAATTTGGAAGCTTTCTCCGTCCTGATAGGGAAAGTTCTCAATGGTATGTTAAGTGAAGAAAGTGAGGGTGCAGAACAGCGTGTAATGAGTGAAGCCATTTTTGTAGAATGGCGGGAAAGTTAGAGTATATATTTGTATTCGCTTGTGTTTCTAAAACAGTCTCTGGGAAGTAGAAATCAAATAACAATGGTCATATGTTGGGAAAATGAGGATTAAGTGGATGGGAGAAGAGGTGGGAAGGAGAGTTTTTACTATACAATCTACTTTTTGTTGCTTGGATCATGTGAAAGTATATGTATTTTAAAACCTAAATAATGTAAGTAAGTTAATCTTTTAAAAAGTAGATAAATCTTTAAGTTTTAAAAAATGTTTATTTTGGAGAGAGACAGAGTGTGAGTGGGGGAGGGGCAGAGAGAGAGG